ATTCACACACAATTCTTTTTAACACCTGCAGGTTTTCCATGTTTATATTTAGATCACAGATTGATTTGCATTTTATTCTTGTATGGGGGGGGTGAGGCATGAATTTCATTTTAGCTCTTTCTAAATGACCAACAAGTGGTTCCTGAACTATTTATCACAAAATCCATTTTTCACTGGTGGTTTGAAATGCATGCTTTTATCAGTTACCAGATGTCCATGTGTAATTTGGTTTATTTCTGCACTTTGTACTCTATTCCACTGGCCTGCATGCCTCTTTATTTGTAAGCACCACTATGCTTCAATTATAGATGCATTAAGAGTATGTTTTAATATCTGGCAGGGCTACCCCCTCCCACCTCCCCCTGGTTTTTTTTTTTCCCGTATTTTATCATCATTATTATGAATGTTTTAAAGCTTTTCTCATATAGACTTGTACATTTCTTGTTAAACTTATTCCGAAATATTTTATTTTCTTTGTTGATATTGTAAATGGAGTTTTCTCTACTATTAAGTCCTCTAACTGGGTATTGTTTGTCTATATGAAGGCTAATAATTTCTGTATGTTAATTTTATGCCCTGATACTTTAGTGAATTAAAAAAATTTTACTGATATAATTGACATATCACATTGTATTTGAAGTGTATGACATAAGGATTTGATATATGTATGTATTGTGAACTGATCATACAATAAGTAGTTAACATCTATCACCTCATATAGTTACAATTGCATGAAAACTGTGATCCCCAGATAAGTCTAGTACCCACCTGACACCATAGATAGTTATTACAATATTACTGACTATATTCCCTGTGCTGTACTTTACATCCCTGTAACAACTTTATAACTACCAATTTGTACTTCTTAATCCCTTCCCCTTTTTCACCCACCTCCCACCCCCCTCCCATATGACAACTATCAGTTTGTTTCCTGCATCTATGAGTCTGTTTCTGCTTTGTTTATTTGTTTTGTTCTTTAGATTTCATGTAAGTGAAATCATATGACATCTGTCTTTCTGGGATGAAAACTTTTAAGATCTACTCTCTTAGCACCTTAGCGAATTTTTTATAGTATGTATTTTATTATAGAATCTCTGGGGTTTTTCAGGTATATGCTTATGTCATCTACAAAGAGAGATCATTTTACTTATTTTCCAAACTTTGTGCCACCAATTGGGGTCTCATCTAGTGGTTTCCTAATATCACCAGTACACAATGTCGACTAGTCATATAGGCAGTGGTCATCCTTGCTATCTCACTTTGTTCCACAACTTGGCAGAAATGCCCCTACTGTGTTCCCACCTTTATGATTAATTTTTTAAACATTTTGAGTATATTCTCTTCTTATTCAGAGACAATCTTTGGCTGGTAAGCTATGAATATCTTCATGTCTGAAATGGCTTACTTTTCTCTTGTGCTTGAATGGCGATATCACTTGGTATAGAAGCCTGTGTCAATAACTAAATTGTAGACTTTTTCTTTGTACTGTTGACTTACATTTAGTCTTGTCAGTAAGAATCTCCACAAATGATTCTTATCATCTTGTTGTCAAAAAATGATTCTCAGTGCATTGTTTGGGAATGTGTGTGGCAGTTATTAAATGTAACAATATTAAATCATTTGACTGTCACCCCTTCTGGTTAGTAAACATCATACATTTCTGGGAGTCTGGACCTGCATTATGTAAAATGTGTGATATGTGGCAATTGGCACTTGGAATGTATTTAGTGAGATGGAGAAACTGAATTTTTAATTTGAATTAATGCAATTTTTAACTTTAAAATTTATACTCTGATATGTTACAGAATTGTACACCTGAAACCTATGTAACTTTACTAACAATTGTCACCCCAGTGAACTTTAATTAAAAAAAATTAATACTCAATTCAGTTTTCAGGAGGCTTATATATGTATGAAATTACTTGGGTGTGAGAATTTCCTTTTCCCACTTGCATATTTTATGAAATTTAAATAGAAATCAAGTATTTCCAAAGAAAATTTAGCATTTGAATTGAGATAGCCTTTAAATATAAAATGCACAGTAAGTTTTGAGGACAGTATTAAAAAAACCAGACAAAATATTTCATTGAATTAAGAAACATCGCTTACATGTTGACTTGGTATTTTAGATATACTGGGTTAAATAATATATCATTAGAGTTAATTTCTGCTGTTTGTGTAAATTCTTTAATATGGCTACTCAAAAGTTCAAAAATACAAACATGGGTCACATTACATTGCAATTGTACAATACCCATAGAGACTGTAGACTTTTCTTCTTTATCTTTGACATTATGGAAGCTAATTAAGATGTGGTCTTTTATTTTTTAAATACTTTAACTCTTTTCTCCTGAAGATGCAGATAGAAAGCTTTCTTCAATGAATTATTTCTTTCCCTCTGTTCTTTTTTTTTTAAACCTTGATGCGATGGATGTTGGAATTTCTGGAGCTATGAACACTACCTAAACTTTTCATCCTTTCTCCTTGTAATGCATGCTGATTTGCCATGCTGTTCGAGATGTACTTCCTTGATCTGTCATGGAGATGGTGGCCCAGGGCTCCTTCTTTCTGTCTAGAACCACAGGATATAAGTTGGAGTGCCCTTGGGTGACTAATTTTGAAATTTGGAACTTCTTTTTCCAGTCACAGCTCTCCATTTTCTACATTTCAGGAATTCATCAAAACAGTCATGCACCGAAGATATACTTTAGGTGTTTGATTCTTTTAAAATTAAATTTATTGGGGTGACATTGGTTAATACAATTATATAAATTTTAAGTGTACAATTCTACAATACATCATCTGTATATTCCACTGTATGCTCACCACCTAATGTATAGTCTCCTTCTGTCACCATTTATTTGACCCCCTCCTTTACCCTCTTTGTCCTCCTCTTGTACCCTTCCCCTTTGGATCCCTCTCTTGGGTATCTACCCAAAACATTTGAAAACACTTATTCGTAAAGATATGCGTACCCTGTATTCATTGTAGCATTTTTCACAATAGCCAAGACATGGAAACAACCTAAGTGTCCTTTGATCAACGATTGGATAAAGAAGATCGGTATGTATATACAAAGGTGTTTGACTCTTACGTCTTCATCACTCAAACTAGATCAGAAACTGTTCTCCTTCAAGGAATGTTCAGTATAACGTGGTCTTTTGGACTTTAGACAGAAGCTTCCATAATATCAGAAGGTCAATATCCAACCCTTCTCAGAAGTGTCCCCAGAGATATAGTGGAAGCCACAAGGGCAGAACTATCCTAATTACCCACCCCCTTGGTCCCACTGATAAACCCCAAAGCTTTATTATGGTGTTAGTAGTTATAATTCTCCCTGACATTTGGCTCAGCACTAATGACATTTTTAGTTGCTAGCACTGAATTCACGTGCATGGTTGTGAAACGTTGAGGAAGGATGAAGTGACTTCCACAAAGGAAACTGGCTAGATATGATTTAAGCAAGAAATTGAGTGACACCAGTTACCTGAAGCCACTTTTAACTGCTGTGATTTAACACTGTAATCACATTATTCTTCNTCTGTTAATAATAAACCTCAGCACTTCAAGAAATTTTTTGACACAAGATGGTAATTCAGTATAGTTTAATGGCAGAAGGTGAAAGAAAGCACATGGAGATATTCAGGGAGTGTATGATTGTAGAGTAGCAAACCATTGGCGATTATAGTATGTGATCATTAAAGCACTAACAAATTTTTGAAATATTGGAAAATGGTTATTTCATTGAAAAAAGTGTGAATTAGGTGCCTATTGTCTGACCTCAAAAATTAGAAGACTAGAAGGGAAGACCTACCACAAGTGAGTAGACTTGTGCATTCTTCCTGCCACAGGTCACAATCTCAGGTGTCCCCAAAGGGGTAATGGGCAGATAATGGGAGTGAGTGAAGGGCTGGGTGAGGGATAACAGTGAGATGGACAGTTCCTGCCCCTCCAAGAGGGAGTTTCTGTTTCCTTTCACCATGTGACCATCTGCTGTGGAATTCCAGGTATCTGGCTTGTGTGTGGTAGTGGGAAAGTATGGAATTCCAAGTGAAATCTATTGGTTGTTAAATGTTGACTGCTAATTTTATTTTTAAAGTTAAACATGATATCAAACCTACTACATCCAGGGTGTCATATTCACTTGTGAGCTACCAGGTAGTGACTTCTATCCTATACCTCCCTTTATTTTCCAAATTTCCAAAAGTGAGTATACAAGAACTCATAACCACAAAATTAATTTTTAAGTAATTTTTTGAAAGAAAAATTATGTTAAGTAGGATGTCAT